AGTCAGTGGCCCACACAGGTCTGTAAGACCCTCGTTGATGTGGCTTGGTAGATTTTTTTTTCTCAGGTAGATTCACCAGGTGTTGTCTCTCAGGCATCGCGTCTCCTCATACAAGGGCTCAGAGTGGCATTGAGTTCCTAGAACATCCTGGAGTAGCATCTGGATCTCAGACACTCCTTGAAATGCCCCTGCCTCCGTCTCTTCCTCCATCTATTTCTCCCTCCATCTCTCCATCCATCCCCCCTCCCTTTTTCCTTCCCTCTCTCCCTCCTCCCTCCCTTCTTTCATCCATTTCTCCCTCCATCCGTCCATCCTTCCCCACCTCGCCCTCCATCCCTCTCTTCCTCCTTCTTGGCTCCCCACCCCATCAGGCAAAGAGGGTGCCTACCGTGAAGGTCCCACTCAAAAGCAGTTGGATGAACGATGCTCGGCTTTGAACAAGATGGTGACTGAGCCCTTTATACCGCAAAGAAAGACCCTTAGTCATGTGATCGCCTCCCCCTCCTCACATCAATAGAACAGCCTTTCATGAACGTTGACAGGTGGGCTGCCTCTGAGGGGGGAGCAGGCATCGTAATGCTATGGCTTGGAGCAGGTGGAGGCTCCATATTAAGAGGCCCCCTCTTGAGCCTCAGAGAAGACCCAGGCTCTAATCAGAGAACAAAGGCTTCCCTGTTCCATGCCCCTCACTCCACCTCAAAGGTTTGGAGGCCCAGGGATTATGTTCGGGGTCGTCAAGGGAGCTCTGGGGGATGAAAGACCGATGAAAGTCACACAGGCTCTCCTGCGAGGAAAAGGGCCGGCTTTGTCAGGTCTAGTTAATTCTTCAGCAGGAGGAGCTCTGCGATGTTTTCTTATATGTTCCTGGCCTCAGGCCTGGGAATTTTATGCCTCTCCCCTTTAGGGGTTTTCTGCCCAAGCTGTGGGCTTGGGCGAGATGGGGCTTTCTAATCAGACATGCCAGGTCCCCGTGCCAGCCCTGCTCACTCGTTAGTAGTGGGACATTGAACTTGTCACTGCTCAGTCTTGGCTCCCGCAGCTGCTAAATGGGGACAATCCCCCTAGGACTGTGGGAGTGAGGTGAGCCCGGGAAGGGGCGCGGTAGGCAGCGGGGGCTCAGTGAGTCCCTGCTCCACCTCTCCTCTTTCTTGTAGCCCCCTTGTGAATTGTTCCCTTTCTAGATTTTAACAAGGAGGACTAACACTTACTGAGTACCTATCATGCACCACAAATATTTTTACAGGATTTTCTCCTTCTCATCTCTGCAGCAGCGAGATGGAGCATTAGCTCCATTGTACACACAGCACAAGTTGGGTCTTCGAGGTTGAGGCATATGTCTGGCTCATGTGATGGTCCTTCCTGGCTTACTGGTTGGCCTGGCTGAGGACGCTCTGTGTTGATCACTCTACCACTGCCTCCTGGAGAACCAGGGCTCCTCCAGCGATTAAATCTGGGGAGCCCTGAGCCTTTACAGAAGCCACAGAAGGGCTGCTTCAAATAATTAGCTGTCTTTGCGCCCTGAAGTTTTGTTTATAGATCATTAATTATTGTTCTGTGTCTCATGTGCATTGAGGAACAAAGCTACGTGCCCTAGTCCTTTCTCACTAGCGTGCAAGTTACACCATCTCCTAAAGCATTAAGTTAATGGGGATGTGGGGTCCAATGTAACAAAATCCATCCTTTCAGCATCTCCAGGGCATAACTGCTGCTCACTGCTAAGGCATAATAATACCCTGCATAGGTATGTTGTTCTAGACACTTCATGGGGATTTGAGAAGGTTCATTTTCTCCGCGTGGCCTACAACGGGGTGTCTCAAATTTAGCACTGTTGGCATTTTGGGCCAATGATCTTCTGTTGTGGGGACTGTCCTGTGCATTGTAGGATGTTTAGTGGCCTGTGGGGCCTTGACCCACTAGATGCCAGTAGCCGTCCCCCACCCCAAGTTGTGACAAACAAAAAATGTCTGTAGTCCCTGCCAAACATCCCTTGGGGGCTCCAGATCACCCCTGATTGAGAACCACTGGCCTAGTGTGTCCCAGGAACCTTGGTCTTTCTCTCTCTCTGTTGGTGGAGTGGGGTGAGAGTGAGGTTTTCACAAGAACTCAGACAGAAGAGAAAAAAGGTTGTTGTAGGAGAGTTTAAAATTACAGATTGTATTACAAAAGCATCCGATTTCCATACTCACACAAACCCTCAACACGAGTGCAACTATTCAGAAGAGGCAGACACAGCCACATGCTCACACAAACCCACAGAAACACACACGGGACTAAGAAACACACACGCAATACCTTTCCTCCTCTTCCATTTTCCCTCTCTCCGCCCCCCCCCCCCCCCC